AAAAAGAAAACATAGCCACCTCTTGATGTATTATCCAAACGTAATTTACCGCAAGCGCAATGCGCACCTCCATAGCATATATATATATATATATATATATACCTATCCGATGAAACTATGCGAGCGTATACAAGGGAAATAAAATGTACCAAATCCCCACGCGGACTCGTCATCATCGCAAACAATAACACTCAAATTACCACAAATTGCACAAGCAAAGCGTACAAGGACTTTACTAGCAAGAGCACAGGTTAAATAAGGTGAGGAGTTCCTACCGCGTGGTGACATCTCCCCCATCGGTGGACCTTGACAGCTCCTCCTACGCCGTGCACGCAACCCTCGTCGTGGCCGTCAACAGGAGCCCGACAACGACGTGGTCGTACCTCTACAATGTCCGAGGCATGTAATTGGGGTATCACACGGACTTTTTCGGAAGAAAAAAAACTAAGGGACTACGACAACACACCACGGCTCGGCCAGATAAGGAGGAAAGGCGCGCCGAAAAAAAAAAAGAGAAATCACGCAGATCGAAAATGGCACGCACTATCCGTCGTTCTCTCTCTCTCTCTCTCTCTTTTATTCCCTGATACTACCCACTCCTCTTCCTCCGCACAATATGCGCCCAACTGTACTACTGCCGTTTTCCCCGAGAACGGTCTATATACCACTGATACCACAACGCCCGAGGAAGATAAAGAGAGAGCGCGCAGTCGCCAGTAGGTAGAGCCGTGACGAGTCAGCCAACGAGCCGATCAATGAAAATGAGCGAGGGCCTGTACCCAACCGCGGCATATTTTTTTTTTTTACAAGTGATCTCTACCTTCGTCGACTATGATTTCTTCCTTTCTTTCTTTCCTCGTATGTGGGCACGTGTGTGCTTTTGACACTGATTTTTTTTATTCCCCCCCCGAAATTTGTGTCATCGCGATGGAGTTTCGATTTTTTTTTCTGTACTCGAGGAAAGAGGATGTAGATATATACAGTGTGGGAACGACTTTCTTTCTCCCCCAATGTGTACCCACGTGGGCCAGGATGCACTCGTCCTTTTTCATATCATATACCCGAAACGTGTGCATGTAACATGCCCGGATCGCAAGCTCCGGTGCGAGAGCTTTTTGACGCCCGCGTTTAAGGACGCGTGCGCGAATAGTATAGCGATGCATGTGGACGGATCGGAAATTACAAAAGATGAGTATAGTTTGTACGTTACAGCAGGAAAACGCAAGGCACGGGGTTTTTTCTCTCACGCGAAGCTTCGTACACGTTGTGTATCCACACTCGTGTCTTACCATAATCGTCCGTTTCTACTTCCCTACAGTAAAACTAGATAATATTGTGGTGTACATTTATTTGTTACATTAATCAATTCCTGCAGATGTACTTGTATAAAAGTATAATATGAATTCTTTCTTTTATTAATAGCAAGTGGTATTTTTCTTTCTTTCTTTTATTATTATTATTTTTTTTTTTAATCCCCTTGTTGGTGACGCGTAAACACACGAATCCCTTTTGCGTGAAACAAAACATGATCTCGCATTCGACGAATCGATTTAAACGAGCGTTAAATCGCATGAAATAATATACCTCACGGCGCTTAAAGTGCCCCGACCAATGTCGTAACACGCGCACCTTTGATTTACAACAGCGTGAATGTGCATACACATCTTTATACGATTTTTCTCCCTCTTTTTTTTCATTCATTGAGTACTTTTTTTGCCGCAAATGACTGTGGTATCTTTATAAAATTTCACGAAAAAAACAATAAATTAAGAAGGCAACTTGTAATTTACGTGCGATTGAGTGAATTTAAGAATGCATATGAATTTTTTTGTAAAAATACAAAATTGAAAAAAAAAAAAAAAAAAACAACAACAAACAATCCCACGAAGCTCTGCAATAAGCTTATACGACCCACACTGCACGTACACGTATGCCTATACATACTAGCACGAGGTACTTACCAACGGTGGACAGCTGTTGTACGACGCTCTCGTTCATCTTGAGTATAACATTGGGCCCTGCGACTATCTGCGGCTGCTGTGCGGGCTGCTGTTGCTGCTTTTGCGTCTGCATAGTGACGAATCGCTACAATCAACACCTCGATACCCCAAACTCTACGGCCAATACCTTCTTTTTCGGCGACGACGCACACATAAATAATCAACAATTTTTCCTTCCCCACGTGCGGCTTCGTTCACTTTTTCAACGTCTTCGCGGGCAATACATGCTACACGCAATACAGTCGAGCTTTCGTGACGCGCGAAAATAAAGTTATACTCAATTGCACGTATGTATATATATATATATATATACACACTTACGTGCAGTACTATGTGTATTATATGTTAAATACAGAGGCGATAGGTGCAGGCAGTACGTAAATTATCGCAGCACTTTTACACTCGTGTATACAATATATATTAAAGATCACTTGTTCCCATAAGAACATGTGTATATTACATATACGATGCACCGACTGACGGATGCTGGACCCTTTTTGTCTGCTCTCGTGTGCGCGTCAACGGTGTACAATAATAGCAGTACTGTGCCACTTTGACTCGGTGTGATTCTCGTCGATCGTCGCAAGTATACAAACCAAACGAGCGTGGCAGAGCTCGAAAAGTATAGATGGCCTATTATGCGCGCACTGTGATTCAGCAGTTTAATCGCGTATACATGTATATGTATATTGGTTTGTGATGGAAAAAAAAAACGAGGGGGGCCTTTTATGACGTATCCGCGTTAGCTCGAAGCGAGGAGCATAAAGTCAACGAAAGACAAAAATCAAAGATGGATCGCGGAACCGCAGCAAAAGTTGCCCATCCGTGGGTCGGATGATTAATCAAGTAGGTATGTATACGGTAGTACAATTGCAGATGAGCGAGTGGCAGAGGAATGCCGTCATACAGAAAGAGAGGAGTGTAAGTATACAACGCTACGATGTACACACGCACGCGCGCTCGAGTGTTTTTTTTTTTTTTTTTTTTTTTTTTGACCGTGTTTTTTTTTCGGAGCTGAGGAACTAATAATATAATACGGCCGCCAGAGCGACGTGCGTCGGCCGCACTGCGGTCGCCGTCAGGGTGTGTGTGTGCGCATATCGAGACTCTGATGGGTGAGGGGCGCGCCGACAGCGACACTCTCTTCACCTCCGTGTGTGTCCTTATACACTCCTCCGGCCCCTACTCTCGCACTCTCGCTCGGGTGACTATGGTTACATGGGTCATTTTACAAAAAAATCCAATGGCTCGATTGCGCGTGAATCAAGGCTTTTGTGTGACCAACTTTTTGGGCCTCTACACAGTAGGGCCATTTTTTTTTTTTTTTTACAAAATTTTTTAATTGAACTTCCAAAGATCGTTACGGCGCTGATGAAATTCGTACACTGTACCCGCTTGTTTTGTTGAAGGGTCGCGAGAATATTTGACGATGTACTCGACGACTCCAGAATGTATACGAAAAGGTGAAATTTCAGGTGTCCGAGGGAGTTGACGGCTTGTCCCTGTACGAAAGTGTACACGTATTTGTCTACGTGCAATTTTTTATATGTATTACGGAGGCAAGAAATGATTTTTTTTCGACATTATTACGCAACAACGTGTATTGAGCAAAAAAAAACAACAAAAAACAAAAAAAAAGTAACAGCATTGCTGACGAGATGTAACGAAATGTGATGTTGTTTTGCAATTGATTGCAACATGGAAATGGCACAGTTTTTGTGAAATGATCCATATGACGTTCACACTTGTGGCCTGTCTCTCTTATTTTTCTACTTTGAAAACTTCCTGATGTACCGCGTTTCCCCCACTATTACGCGTATATATGTATTCTCGAGTAAGCCGTTCTTTTTTTTTCCCTTCCTCCAACCGAAAGATGTACGTATAGCTGTTTAGTAAAAATTGGCCTCTGCGTGAAACGATTTTCTCAAACGTATATAAATGTATAAATGAGTAATTATACCGAACAATCAAATTCTTTGGAAGATTTAAAATTTACAAAATTTGTTGTGCTTAAAAAAGTTAGGATATAGGATTTATTTTTTTCTACAAAAATGTTTGCTAGGTCTGTTGCTCTGTGATAAGTAGAGAGGTAACATTGGCTGAAATTGACAGATTAAACGAAATTGTCAATTCTCACTCAAATTGTGCTGGTTACGTAAATTTGTTTTGTAGTGAAATATGTTGAGTAAACTTGTCATTGGATATTTAGAAAAGAAATCACGAAAAAAAAGCTTATTAATAATTTTGCAATTTTACAATAAAAAGACTTAGTTGAGGGTGAATACGCTCATGAGTGTCTTTTTCGTAACATGGGTAATTGTTGTTAATTGAAAAACATTTCAAGACTAGGTATAATAATAATAATAATAATAATAACAACATTGTCATGGATGAGTAAAATTTTAATGTTTGCTGAAACCTTGTAGAAATGGTCAAAGTTAAAAATTTGTTCACTTACTTACCTTTAATGGTACTATTTGATCAAACTAAGGCACCTAAATTTTAATGTCAACCGCATATGGACCCGCATTCGATACGTAATTATAATAAATTTTCATTACATATTTTGGACGAAATTCGTTATAAACGTAAAAAATGTCCAATGCACATAAGTATATTAGAAACGTGAACTATATATTATAAGTAGGAGATAAAATATAATATACATTTCTCGCTGCGCCATTCAATATACTTTACGTCAAAATTGTCACTTCAAATAAATTACATTTCCCGCCATTAGAGACGGCCCTGAATTTTTTTCAACAAAGACCCCCCAAAGCTCCAACACGTTCAGATAGCTGCGATTATTTCATTACTTCACTTAGCATTTGATGTTATTTGTTTATCATTAAAAGAAAAAAAAAAAACATTCTATGTAAAAAAACATCCTCACCAAAAACCACTCTGTGCGTGATGGGCGGGTCGAGCCATGTTACCCTGCCACGATCACACACACAATCGAACTATCGAACGCGGTCTGTCTCGATATATTCTCGAAGCGCCTTCGAAAATTCCAAACTCCAAGTGGCCGGCGTCGCTTCGTGCCTTCTCTTTCCGTTGTCGGCCGAAGCTCCTCGTGCACCCCGTGTGTCCATTATTCGCCTCTTCTTTTCGTTTAACCCAAGCAAGAAAAAAACACATCCCCAGCTGCGAAAATGACGGACAACAAGGAGCGCACTTTCATCATGATCAAGCCCGACGGGGTGCAGCGTAATCTCGTCGGCAAGATCATCCAGAGGTTCGAGGACAAGGGCTTCAAACTTGTCGCCATGAAGATGGTCTGGGTACGTGTATAATATAATTATATCAGCGGCTTTTTTACAACCACCATATCTCTCTCTCTCTCTCTTTCCTTGCACACGTGGTCGTTGTCGTTAATTCATGACAGGCAAACCACGTACACTTAAGTGCTCGGTACCTTTATTTATTGTTTACGAATGGTACCTCGTTTATAATATGAACGTAGGGCGTTCTATACAGCTGTTTGTCAGTTTGACCTTGGATCTATGATTTTTTTTTCCCCCCTTCGTGCCGAATTGTTGGCCTGTATCTAATTTGTTTACTTTGATTGGATAATATATATTTTAATATGAATGTATACTTGCTTTTACCGCGAGTACTGATTACATTTGGTACTTTTCAGGCCAGCGAAGATCATCTGAAGGAACACTACGCTGACCTTGCTAACAGGCCCTTCTTCACAGGTTTAGTGAAATACATGAGTTCTGGACCAGTAGTGCCTATGGTAATTATTATTTCATCTTTTTTATTATATCACATTCAAGTGTTCTAGTTTATGAGTCTCTTAGAGAAGCCTTTTCAATGTTTCTGTGACCTCAACTTATGTAACAGCAAGGCAAAAAAAAAAGGATTTGCTGTCGAGTCACTGTTATCCGAAGACGTATAAATGCTTGGGTTCTAAAAGTTTTTTTTTCTTGCGCTTATCTCTAGATAGCTGCAACTGTTGAACGAAAATTGAATTAATTTATTTGCATTGTAATTTTGGTCTGCAGAATATTTTAAATACCTTGAAAACGAAAATTCTTCCTTGCAGAAGAATATGGGGATAACATTTTAATTAATTTCAGGTATGGGAAGGTCTTAACGTCGTCAAGACCGGGCGCGTCATGCTCGGCGAGACGAATCCCAAGGACTCGGCTCCAGGCACCATCCGTGGTGATTTCTGTATCCAAGTCGGCCGCAACATCATTCACGGCTCGGACTCCGTGGAAGCTGCCAAAAAAGAAATCAAGTTGTGGTTTGGAGATGAGAAGAAGAAGGAGGTCATCGATTGGGCCGCCTGGGCCGAGAAGTGGATCTATGAATAGATTGTTTATTAATCAAAGGATTTTATCTCATTCCACTTTTTAATGATGAAAAGGAAAACTACAACCTGTTAACGAGGATAATCGTTGCCGAATCATTGTGCAACAATTATTATTATTATTAAAAGAAGTATTTGCTTCATAATGAACCACGTAAAAAAAACTGCCAATTGCGCAGCTATAGTGATAATTGTACATACTTTGAAGCTGCTAAAGAAATAAACGTTCGATTTGCTCTTAACTGAATTTTCGTTTAAAACTCATTACATCGAAACCATCATTTATTCTTGTATATTGCAAATGCATTCAAAGACCACTGTCAGCCTCTCGCACAAAGAAATACACGCTTGACCAAAGAAGCACACAAAAATTTACGGTACGCCGACGTTTCATAGTGCATCCAAAGAAGTTCATCTCGAGTAATTTTCATGTGTATACACGTAACTACTTGCGTCACATACTATGATATACATACGAAAAATAGTCAGAGTTCTTTATCTTGTCACTGATAATGCGTGAGTACGAATCTAGGGAGCATCTAGCGTCACTCTTTTGTGTATGTTAGATGATACGATGCGACGCCAATTGCCGAGAGAAAAATAAAATCAGTCGATTGTACCACCCACGTCAATCGCTGGGGGAAAAAATGAAGGAAAAAAACGACGCTCCGGATTCGTGTAATCGAAGCATAATTGTATCACCTGATCAGTTTGTCAACGTTTAGTTGTTTGGGCGCAGTGCTCGTTGCTTGTTGCATAAAATCGGTGAATAATATTTTTTTTTATAAATGACATGTGGCGACCATCGGCCACTGTGCAAATACTCCTGGGCATCTCGTTCGGCGTACTACTGGGCCTAGGACTCAAGCGCTGGACCACCCAGCCATGGAACGAACGTCAACTGATGTACCTGTACTTTCCGGGCGAATTGTTTCTACGGGTCGTCAATTGTCTGATTCTGCCGTTGGTCGTTTCGAGTATAATTAGCGCAAGTGCCGGTCTCGGTAAATCAGGTGTTTGTTAAAACAAGCTTTTGATTAGATAAAGGAAAAATTTGCTCAAACGATTTAACGTATAAGGAGCTCTTTGATTTGTAGGGAGTATCGGTAGGATGGCTTTGTTTTATTACATTACAACGACGACGCTGGGGATTACACTGTGTGTCTTTTTGTCCGAGACCATTAGACCCGGAGAGTGGGGTGCGACTGTGGCCAATGACTCGAATGTGACGAATCACCAGCCGGAAAGTCAAGTGAAATTCGTAACAGTGGACACACTGTTGGACCTGATGCGGTATGATGATCGATGATTAAATGGAAATTTTGTTTCACGTTTTTGACTATGTTGTTTTTCGTTAAAACGTAATTTTGTTGACCGATTTGAAGCTGCGCTTTCAAGGTTTTATTGTTTCCTTACATGTCATTATTACGAACTAGCCGATCAGTACGATGCAAACTACGAAAATATTGTTTCGTACTAGTATTGCTAAAGTGGTTCTTTTTTTTTTTAGAAATTTGTTTCCAGAAAATTTGATCCAAGCTTGTCTGTCGCAGGTGATGACTTTGTGAACTTTCTATCTGTAATTTGAAAAAAAAAATTTTTTGTCCATATTTCATCAAATTGCAGTACCAAACGGTATTACTCGAACCAGATCAAAGTAACGCACCAGCCACGGAACCAGGTAATCAACGCTCGCTATACCGATCGCAAAAAAATCGGTACCTTCATGTGTACAAACTGTGTACCGATCACGCGATTGAAAGCGCCTTTTTTCGGTTGTTTTCTCGCAGAAGTCTCGCTCTACGAGATGGGAATATCGCATCGCTACACTCCGGGCACGAACGTCCTAGGCTTGGTGTTTTTCGGCTTGGTATTTGGCCTGACGCTCGGCACCATGCCCGACAATAATAAGCAACCTCTGCACGACTTTTTTCAAAGTTTGGCTGCTGCCGTCGCTGAAATGATCGATTACGCGATTAGGTATGACGTTTTTACTCGCTCATTGATTTCGCGTTTCGAAATGTGCTTGAGGAGCGATCTGGTATGGTGCCCTACTCCACCTCCTGCTGTAATGAAGTGCACAAGAATGCCTGTACTAAAAAAAAAAAAAAAAAACTGTTTACCGATGAAATTTCAACTCCATCAATCATATGGACGCAATACTTTTTTTTTAAACTCTAACATGTTTTCAATAGTCAAATTTTGTAAAAAAAAAAAAAAAAAACAATTTCAATTAGTGCCACGTGTACCATGAGACTTCTTTCTTGAAAGAATTAAAACCACTGTCGAGCACCATACTTTAAACTTACGTTGAAATGTTACGGATGAGGCCCTTCTTTATGCACGGCACCTTTCGGCAGCTCGATCGAGTTTCATAAAAAATTAAAAAATGTCCGATCAACGTATAGTTCGAACCATTTATTCACACCGTGATAGGTTCCCTGATTTTTTGTCGTGGGATGAGAAATTAATTAAAAAATCGAATCCCTTCCAGAGCAGCGCCGATCGCCGTGGTATTCTTGATCGCGAGCAAGATCCTGCGTAGCAGCCGTGATCATCATCATCACGAGCAACAATACGAGGAGGCAGCCCTCGAAGCTCAGCGACTGGGCGTGTTTGTATCAACGGTGTTCGCAGGCTTGGCGATTCAAGCTTTGGTCGCGCTACCTCTCGCCTACCTAGCGATCGCCTACCGATCGCCTTACCGATTACTCGCGAAAATCGGCCCGGCTCTCGCCACTGCCTTCGGCACTTCGTCCAGGTATACATTTTACGGGCGAGCGCGTTTGATGCATTACCAATTTGAGATTCTCATTTTGGATAACTCTTTTTTTTTTTTTTTCAATCTCTCCCCTGCGATCTTTTTTTTCGGCGTTCGAGTAATCGAGGATTGCATGCAATGCACTTTATCATATATTATGTTGCGGAATGTTTGCATCACTTGGACCACTATTTTTTGTTGTTGTGTATACTGTATACAGCACGGCAACGGTGCCGACAACGATTCGCTGTTTGGACCAGGTGGGCGTCGATCCGCAAGTCTCGAGATTCGTGGCGCCGATCGGAGCTACCATCAACATGGACGGAATAGCGCTCTACGAGACCCTGGGCGCGTTGTTCATCATGCAAATGCGGAGAGTCGAATTGTCTATCGTCCAGACCGTGGCCATCAGGTTTGGATTGGGAAAGAAAAAAGTTATAAATATACTCCTTTTCCCTTTCGAGCTGAGAGACGGAGAATAATATAATGCTCGTGCGATCGGATAAGTGTATAATATACATAAGCTTGAGGATCGATGAGAAAGGGTGTGGCGGGGTTTGTGGGATTTTCTGATTAATGTTTTGCCCACCGAGTTTGGGCTTTTCTTGTTTTTCAATCATTTATTTTCATCTAATGTACCTAACATTTTTTTTTGTAATCTGCTATAATCTTTTCCTCTGATTTTTTTGTAAAAAGTAGATTTTTTTCAATGATAATGCACAAAAAAACCCACTACTTTTACGAATTAATATGCATGCAGACCTCGGATAATCACCATAAAGTAATAAACATAGTATGAAACGATTGGACTGGTCGTGATCTCTGCTCAAATAGCAAACTGATTATAATACATTATGCACATGATTGCAGTATTACTTGTACATTGTCGTGTATCGGAGCGGCTGGAATGCCGAGCGGTGGCTACGCCATGCTAATTATGGTGCTGAATTCTCTGGGCATCCCCGCTGAGGACGTCGCTCTGATCATTGCCGTCGACAGTTTCGTGTAATGTGCATTTTTTCATACTTACCATGTTTTTCTCGTTGCAGATTTGTTTCTCATTTGTTGAAAGCAGGTTCCAATCCGAATTTTAAAAATCTGGAATCCTTTAATATTATTAAGCGCATACAATTTTGTTTAGTGATTAAAAAAGTAAATTGTTTGTTTTAGGGACCGCTTCCGAACAATGGTAAATATTGTCGCCGACTGCTTGGGAGCCGGAATCATAAGTGAAGTATTAAAGAGAAGGAAATTGAGACCTAGTCGAGGCACAAAGGATTACGACTCTGTTTTGGGATGAATCCTTTCGTTTTGTTTATATTGAAAACAGGTCACATCATGTTATGTTGAACAATTATTGCAATAAATATTGAGAGAAGAGAAAACCATTTTTTTTTTCAGTACAAAAATTATCGTATTTTTATTTATAACGAACATATTTATACAACATCTTTACAGCCTTATCAAAATATAATTTATCATTAGATTAGTGATAGTTAAAATACATTCGTCATTAATCAACAGCGTACCTGGTCTAAAGAAAGACTGAGGTCATTAACCAGTAATGTTTCAACAAGTGTTTTTGGCACTTCCAGTGTAACCAGTAAGTATGTAACCACCACAGTCATTGGTCGTTATCTCTGGATGAGTTCTTTCAGGTAAAACTTGATAAGATCTTAAAAAATTAGAAAACAGTCTGAGATTTACCACATTAGCTTGGTTTTTTAATGCTACGTAGGTTTCTTCCAGTGGCTCTTGATGACCATGATAAATGACAAATGGCCTGGATGATTTTATAAACGGCAAAAGTCCTTTGACTATGTTGAGCGGATGCTCTTTTGTCACGACTGTCAGGCTGTCGGCCTTTGTCTCTGACATAATGTCAACGGACCTTTCTATTTCAAGAACTTTCCTTGATTTCTTCAACACTGGTCCTTCATCTGTATCTTCGGTAATTTTTCTCTTCAGATCATTACTAGTCATTGTCGCATTGCACTCGTGGTTTTCATTGTTATCTCTAAAACTATCGTCAGATTTTTCATCTTTAATGATCGTCTTTTGACATAATACATCAGCTTTACTATGATTATCTGCTGTGTTTGGCTGTTTACCATAAAATTTCCTAAGAAAGTCAAAAATACTGACAGTTACCAGCCTGCCAAACTGCTCATCAGAAAAGTTCATAGCCCGAGCAATTGGCATCTGTGGTAAATGATCACCGGAATGCAGATACAGCAAATTGCCAGCTGTGTTGGCTCCTATTCTGGACAACATAGCTGCAGGCACAAGACCAGCTGTACCACTGTCATACAGTATAAAAGTGCCATTGCACTTGACATCGCTATAGGATAGAATCTGAGCTATGGCATCCATTCTCATTCCATAGATCTTTGCAGAATCTTGCCTCAGATATATTTCTTGTAAAGCAGCCAGTGTCGGCTTATGAATGCTCAAAAACTGGCAATACTTTTTTTCTTTTTTCTTGATGTACTTCTCCTGGGAAAACTCTGTCTTCTCTGTGAAAGAAGCATTGTTCACAATGAGACTACTCACAATCTCCCGTCCGGATTTTCCGGCGTCTCTGAAGTTTAAAATATCATCCCTTGACAGTTTCTGTGACTTGCCATCGTCGTTTATGCACCTGTTGTCGTGACCACTGGACACGCTATCTTTGAGATCCCCCAGGGACTCGCACTTTTTTGCAACAACTAGAGTAGACGAGCTTCTTTTGGATTTCTTTTCGCGAGGGTCGCCCTTGGAGCTGACAACTTTGTACGCGGTCCAAAAGGGTTTGCCGATAATTTCGCTCATCTGGATATCCTCCTTGCCCAATGTCAACGAGCCGGTCTCTGACACGCGATATACTTTTTTGAAGTTCAATTTTTGTACAACCACGTGGCTGCCAACTTTTACGAGCTCCGATACTTCGGTTTCCTTCATTTATGCGTTTTTTTTTTTTTGCAGTTTGAATATTTACACTGTTATCCTCAACGTCCAGCGGACCAAAGTCACCAACTAATGTATTGATAAGACTTGACAAACTTCGATGTTATTTGTTGACATGCGGAACCCACCGACAGTTAGTACAGGTTGACGCTAGCGTCGCCCGACCAATATTGGACCATGCGGCGTTACCACGACCTACGTTACTCCACTGCTGGCAGCATTTGCGGAACACAGCCTCTGATTTTATCATTCTGGTAAAGAGAGCACGGTGTAAGATATACGTGGAGTGTTATGTGTAGTAATTATAGTATAATTACTACTAAGTAGTGCCATATATTCGATTTTATTAAACTATAAAAGTATCTATACTTTTGGAGGTCAATTTTCGGGTAGAAGATAATTTTTAAACTTGCCGCAAATAGCACGGACATGTTTAACTACTTATTTTGTATCTATTTCAAGAGTTGCGGCTGGTTTATAAGTGATTAAATGGCTCTAGGGCTAAACAGCCTAAAGCTCTCCTTCAGAATTTCAGAAGCAATTTTTGGCCAAAAAAATCACGACCGCTAGATGGCGCTGATCTAAATGATTATTACTACTTATGGTAGAGCCATTTAATCAATTATAAACCAGACGCAACTAATGTAATAATTACAAAATGATAAGTTAACATTGTTTGTGCTGTTTGCGGCAAGTTTGCAATGTATTTTTTAGATGAATATTGACTTCCTGTATATTTATACTTTTGAGTAAGAGATAAATTGTAAACTTGCCGCCAATAGTGCAAACAACGTTAACTTTTTATTTTAAATTTATCAAATTAGTTGCGGCTGGTTTATAATTGAATAAATAGCTCTACTATAAGTAGTTCAGTAGTAATAATCATTTGGATCAGCGCCATCTAGCGGTAGTGATTTTTTTGGCCAAAAATTGCTTTCGAAATTCTGAAGGAGAGCTTTAGGCAGTTTAGCCCTAGAGCCATTTAATTACTTATAAACCAGCCGCAACTTTAAAAATAAATACAAAATAAATAATAAACGATGTTTGTGCTGTTTGCGGCAAGTTTACAATTTATCTATTACCCAAAAGTATAATTATATAGGAGGTCAATATTCGTATAAAACATACACTGCAAACTTGCCGCAAACAGCACAAACATCGTTTATTATTTATTTTGTATTTATTTCAAGAGTTGCGGCTGGTTTATAAGTAATTAAATAGCTCTAGGGCTAAACTGCCTAAAGCTCTCCTTCAGAATTTCAGAAGCAATTTTTGGCCAAAAAAATCACGACCGCTAGATGGCGCTGATCCAAATGATTATTACTACTTATGATGATCGAAGTTTGGAAAGAAG